GTGTATTAGTGTACAAGCCATAGGACATTGTTTAGTTTATGAAATCTGACACCACTGAGGGGGCAGTGATGCCACAATTAGGTAGCAGCCAGTACAGTTAGTTTGACTCCTGATAAAGTTATAGGCAATCTCAGCTGCTTGACTTGGAATATTTTTCCTCATCCCTCCCAAAGGTGCAGCCGGGCTGTCGGGGGCTGCCACTGCGGCTGTGGGCAGTGTTGGAGCTGCTGCAGGAGCAGGACTGAAATGGCTAGGAGGTCTCATTTTCAAGGACGAAGAAGACGATGAAGACGATGAAGACAAAAAGAAGTAAAGTAAATTTAAATGATCTCACGTGGCAAATTTTAATGATATTTGTTGGCACAAGATATTAAACAAGAGTGAAGAGTTATCATTTTTAAAGATGTGCTGTACATTTGTCGCTCTTACAGCTTTGCCATTGATCATTTCAGGTGTAGGAATGGAAACTCACCATACCCGAGGCTCCCTGAACTGTCCTCACACTTTGCCTGAAAGCTGTGGATTCTGATGGTGTCATTCTGATCATTCCTTTTGTGCCTCTGGGTGACTTTTTCTGTGCACGCTGGTATAATATTAGTGAACTACATACGACTGAAAAGCATGACTGTTTTTAAGCAAGTGTGGATTTTTTTCTCCTACATTTTCTAAAATTTGCATCTCAATCAATGATCTAATTGCAGGAAATCCTAATTCTAAAATTCTGAATGGTGTTGTTGCCATTGTCCTCACTAAGATAAAGCTAAACTTTGGTAAGAAAGTCTGGTTGAATTCTTTTAACATTCAGTTATTTGGATTTCCTAAAACCTTCTACCCATTTCCATAATCCTGCCCGCAGATCAGCTCAGTGCATCAACTATGAGAAAACTTTCTTTGGAAAATATTGTAAACTGTCTAGAAACTCTTCATTTATTTACTTTGGTCAAAATTATCTTGTTAAAGACTAATTTCAAACATCGTCACCCCTCTGCACTTCTTTCTGGCAGTAGAATTGTTAAATGTTATTACTTACTACAGCTAACTATTTATTATTAGCTCAAAATGAAGAGTGGTTGAGGATTTTTTTATTTTTTATTTTTTAGAATCATTGTTTTATGTTTAAAATACTATGCGGACACTTCATTAAACATAAAACTGCATTTATTTTTTTGGCAAATTCTATGTAATATATCAAAAATAAAAGTATTTATTCTGCAGAAATCGGTGTTACATGGATCAGTATTACTGCTGCAGGTGATATTGTTAAC